TGAACAGCCTGTAAATTAGCTGTCAGTCTCAGTCTGAAGAAACAGTATATCAAAGATCATTTTCCTTTCAGAATTAATTCTTTAATTATACATTGAAATTCTGATTTTTTAAAATAATTCTCCTAAAATCTTGTAAAACCTCCAGTTATCAAATATTACACTATTGCATCACATTCTTAAAATCCAAATTTTAATTTCTTATTCTATGGAGATAACATTCAGAATTTTGAGAAGTATTTATAGAAAATATATATATGTCTTATCAAAACTAACCTTCATAATACAGAACATAAAACCTGTAGTGACTTGTGAAATATATGTTTTCTTTCACTTTTTTATAATTTTGATGATACTTTCTATTTGATTGTCATATTTAGGTTCTCTCTGGATCGTCACACTGACCTTGACAGAATATTTAACATTCATTCTGGAAACGGGTCCATCTATACTTCTAAGCCACTTGACCGTGAGATATCCCAATGGCACAATCTTAGTGTAATAGCAGCTGAGATTAGTAAGCTAATTTGGTTTTTCTTTTTCCTTTCAGTTTTCCTTAGCCTGTAAAGTTACAGCTGCAACTTGGCGATGAAAACATCCCTCCTTTATTTTCTCCCTCTCCCTTTATACTAGATGTTCTGGAAGAGAGAACTGTGGGGTAGCTAACAGCAGCTGTCTCCTCATTGATCTTTTCCTCAGCTACCTCCATCACTGACCTTTAATGTCCAACTTACTTCTGAAATGTTAGCCAATTAAATTTTAAGATTGGATTAATTATTTTTATTCCTTTCTTGGAGGACAGTAACATGATTTTGCTGTTAAAATAGATGAGTTTAGCATAGTAATCTATGTTTTTGTCTCTATTATTTTCTTCATTTCCTTAGAAATACTTTCATTATCTCTTCCTATGGTATCTGCACCTACAGCTCTTAGAATCTTAATATATCTTCAGAGTTCCATTCAGTTTCATCCCAAAGCTGTAGCATTTCTTGGACCATTTAAAACGCCTGTCTGTAGATGTTTTCATGTTTAGAGTATAAAGAGAAGAGCAGATATCCTCCTAAACCTACTACATTATTGAGAATATCTTTAGTCAATAGACAGAAAATTTTCTAAGGTACAAAGGTCTGATCTTTGAAATCAGCATCTAAGAATCACGTCCTCTCAAAGTCACTAATTTTTTTAGGGCTAATTCTGTATCAGTTAAAAAAAAAAAAAGGAAAAAATACTGGTCAGCAGTGAAACATGTCTGGCAAGAGTTACACTGCAGAGGACTAAATGGAACACTGTGTCCTGCCAATTAAACATTCTGTGTTTAAAAAAAAAAAAACAAAACAACAACTTTTTCTTTTGATGCTTTGTCCTGAGCTTGCAACCATTCAGAGTGCTGTCTGATGTTGTACAAATTATTTTCAGATTTATATAATGATGAAACTTAGCATCCTTGCATGACTAGATCTTAGTGCTAAACTTACTTCCTTGTCAGGAAACTTAGAGGAAATTTACATTATGGACATATCTGGAGTAGCTAGCACTCTCCACAGAGATATGTTAATTTTGGGGAAAGAAATGAAGACGGAGATTTAGATCTTTAAATATTTTAAAATCCTACCTGTGAAGCATGACAGAATGAAAGCAGTGTTAGAATTGATTTGGAAAGTTAGCATGAACATGCAGAAGGCTATGAAAAACTGCATGCTAAACCTGGAAATGTAAATAATTCAGGATGTCAAAAAATATCCACTTCACACTCGTTAGCAAAGGTGTTACTGATAACAAGCCAATGTAATTCCAGCTGCTCCTAAATGTCTTTTATTTAAAGCAGAAGAAGAGGGAGGGAAATCAGTAATTTGAAACAATCTGTTACTTTTCTTACTTATCCAGTTCCATTAATGTTAAAAAATCATATGCTGCTTAGCTACCACACAGCAGAATTCCAAGAAACATCTGCATTTTTTACACCCAGGAATTATTTATTATTTTTGGTATGGCAACAAGATCAGCAAGTGAGAACAGGGACACTTATATTCCTGAATTAACCTATACTAACAAAAGAGCACTCTAAATATGAATAATAGTATCTTGGCATTTGGCAAGGGGGACGTTATTCTTGTTTCTGAACCTAAGGTTTGAAAATTTACATTCATATTTTTTCAGGCAAATTAAACATTAACAAATCTTATTCTAATAAATTCTTTACCAAATTTTTTGAGGAGTACTTTCTTTTGTTTTGTTGGAATTTCTTTGAGGGGCAAGAGAGGAAAAGGCAGACTTAAAAATTTTTCAAAATAGGTGTGCATGTCATAGACTAAATTAACTCTAACCCAGCCAAAGCCAGCACAATGCACAAATTATGTCCTTAGTATTTTTTCTCTGTAAAGCAAACCAGATAAACAAAGAATTTTACAATTAAAATCAAAACCATACAAAACCTTAAGTCCACCAAGTGATCACATTTGTTACTGTAATAGTGGGCAAAATTTCATATACAATATTTGAATATATTATTAACATTTGGAGCCCCCTATCTTCATGTAAAACTTAATTGCTCACTAGATCCCAATGTTTCTTTTTTTTTACTCTACACAAATAATTTCTTTGTTTTTCAGAAGGCCTTATTCTGCCTTGTTACTGGTTTGTACACTGAATATTGACCAGATTCAAACTTCATCTTGCATGTGTATTGCTCATGAAATTTGAAAGAAAACAGAAAAATCTTAATAAGAAAATGATCTCATGTTTCTTCTCTCTTCTACTGTCAGACAACCCCAAAGATACTACTCGTGTTCCTGTCTATGTAAGAATTTTGGATGTTAATGACAATGCCCCACAGTTTGCTGTATTCTACGACACTTTTGTCTGTGAAAATGCAAGAGCTGGACAGGTATGCCTTTGATAAACACTTCCCACCATCCAGTTTTGCTACAGAACTCAACTGTAGATCATTCCTGCCTATTGTTTAAGAAAAATCATATCTAAATGAGCTTTTGATAAGTTCAAAATGAAAGCAAAGAAGCTCTGTAAGTTGTAAGTGAGGCTTAGAGTGAAATGTCAATATGATACAAGCAAATGAGTGTTTCAATCACCACTTTTTCTTACCTAACCTTGTACTGCTTTTAAATCCCAATGAGATATGTCCATGACATAGTCATGATTCACTTTGCCCTTAATTTCACAAAGTAGAACATTATATGTAACTAAAATCTTTGATCTATATTTTTTTTAATAATTCTCAATAGCAAAATTCAGATATATTTCAATCCATGCTGACAGTGAATACAAACCAAAAATCTGTCGCACTTTTTTTTTTCAATTGTTAGATTAATCTTTCATTATCACACCAAAAATTTCTGTTAAAAAACCATGCATTTTTAAAATGGTAGCATAATATTTTCTTTTGCTTCTTCGAGGCTACACAATGTGTACTTCAATTTAAGTGAATTGACTGTACTGCTTAATACCTAATGTCCAATAGGTAGTTGCTTATTAGAAATTTTAATTTTTTTTTCCTATATTATGTCCTAGAGCATACTCAGCCAATAATAAAGCCTTTAAAATGTGCAACCCTTTCAGTACATTTGAATAGAATGTGGTACAAGTGCCAGCTTTTCTTAACTGTTGGGAGTCCCACAGGTATAACATTCAGGTTGGGTTGCAAATTTTGCATTCAGGTTGCCACTCTTCCTTCCAAAATGACATCAGTTTGAACATATAACAAAGAATTTGAGGCCAAAATTTATAATGCATAAAATATATAAAGGTACTGAGCAAGTGCATTTGTCTGCTGTGGCAGTCACAAGAGAATTCAAGGTGTTAAATAAAGAGAAATCATTGGCTAAAAATGTAGAAAGTTGGACAGCTGAAGTGTCTAATATAAATTACGAAAAATTTTTAATAATTTTCAATATGACATAAGGATTAAGACCTGTAAAGGAAGAACATTGAATTTTCCTCTTCCAGTTTCACAAAAAACATATTCTATGTTTAAAAAAAAATAATAAAAGCATACATCCACAAATTTTACTCATCTGAGTTTTCAGAAATTTTTCTGTGCAGGTTACTAGTTCTAGAGCGCACAGGAAATGTTAAGAGAGCAGTTAAATTTCCATGTACATGTATTTTAAATAACAAGTTTTTTTCTGTGGTAGCTGGACTATAAAAGTCAGTATAATTTAAAAGTAAATGTAAAAGTATTTCAACATTGCATTGTTGTATTGTTTACAATCAGAATAGGCTGTCAGTTAAAAAGTTGAATAAAATAGCACTAATCACTTATAACTAATAAATGAGATGCTAAATAAGTTTGCACATCCACAAATGCTTATTTAAATTGTTATAGGGCTCAATAGTGTCTTTATCAGAAAAAAACTGCCAAGGTTATTGAGAGGGCCATAAACATAAACATTTTTTAAGAAATCTGAGTTGCAAATGATTGCTTAAAGAAAACAATTCTCAGGAAGAGAAAAAATGTAATGCAGGATAACACAAATAATCTATTTGAATGCAATTATATTCTTCTTGTTTACTGGCAGCTCATAAATAAGACTTTTTCATTTTCGAATTCAATCTGTCCTGAGAGAATGTAATCAATTCAAACTGAACATGGTTCCCTGAGCTTGATTCCTCCCACATTTCTGCTATTTTTCTTCCCTTTCAGGTTTTCATAATTACATTTGATCCATGAAATTTATATCTATTAGGTAACTGAATCTAATGATGCTTCATCAGTCACAGATTCTGTTGTATTCATTTCAGTATTTCCCATCTACTAAAGAGAGATATTATAATGAATATTATACTTTTCCATTTACTTAATTTGTACAGAAACCTAAATTTTATACATATATATATATAAACATACGCATATTGTATATGATACCTAGGGAGGTGCACATAAATCCATGTATACAAACATACATATATATGCAAATATATAGCAAGAGAGAAATGTGACTTTTGTAGTCTGAATGACTCAAAGGGCCTGTGATCGTTTTCCTGCTTGCTATTACTGCTGATGTCAGATCCTACCATGAACTTACAAACGATGCAAATATCCTATCTCAAAAAGCTCAAGCTATACACAAGCAGCACCTCTGGCAGAATGCTATTTCGGTGGTTGCTGTTCTTTTGACCCCCCCACAAAAATGAGGACAGTCTTGGTGTAATGGCATAAAGAGGACACAGGCATTCATGTGACCTACACAAGGCTGACTCAAAAGGAGTTCAGGGAAATAAAGCAGCAAAATGCTCAGACTGCTGCAGCCCTGCAACCAAAGAAGTTCAGCTGTCCTCTGCCCCCAGGTGAGAAGAGCCACGAGCTGGGCATCTGGACAGATGGAATCCCACTGGTTTTGTCAGCTCCCAGCTGTCACATGTCTGGCAGCTCAGCTGCCAGCCTCCAAAGACCCTCTAATGTAAAAGAATCAGTTTAGAAAGCAGAAGTCAGTCCTGCTTTAGAGAGATCTTGCATGGAAGCTAAGTAAAACTTTTCCAAATATTCATTTTCCCTATAGTAGATGTCATAAGAGAGGCCCTTCTTCTTTATGTGTAAATGATCTGCCAAAAAAAATGGCAGAAGTTGACCTTGGTCAGCAGCCAAGCACCCAACAAGCCACTTCCTTCCCGCTCAATAATATAGGGGGAGAAAAGATGAAAAATAAATGGCTTGAGACAAACTTACAAATTACCATCACTGGCAAAACAGACTCAATTTGGGGCCGCTGCAGCCCCGGCACAGCCCCAGCACAGCCCTGGCACAGCCAGCACTGGGCCAGCCTCACCTTTTTCAAGTCCAGTGTGATGTTTAAATGGCTTGTTATTGTCTTGCTGTTACTAGCCTTCATTTTTACCTAATCCATACATACCTTTTCACATGTTTAAATCTTATGTAAATAGATATAGCTCACAATGGATTCTCTTTCAAAGACATTTTAAAATACGAATCTTAGGGTCTGTTTTCCTTTTTCCCATAACTTAATGCAGTATAGATTATAAAAGCACACTAGGTTTCTTGAACCAATTAGTTTTATGCTGCTCTTCATGTTATCAGCTCATTTGACCCATATAGCAGTCCTTATCAGGAAAAGGATATCCTTTCCTCCCCACAATCTTGCTTAAATGTGGCTTTTGGGATCTTCGTAGTTCCAGAAATTTCCTTGTTATATTCACCAAGTGTCCTTCTAAAAATACCTAAAATTCATATCTATTGAAAAACTAAAATCCCTGAAGTTTTTTTCTAGCTTACAATTTTCCCTTCCTATTTTTCAGATATTTCTAAAAAAAAAAATTCTTAAATGCTTTAATCCTGAAGTGTTATTTTATCTTTGTTTATTGAATCTTTCATTTCTTTTGACAAATGACAATTTGTGATCAATTTACTTGAAAATTTGTTCTCTTTCTTTCCCAACTCCCCCGATTCATTCTTACTTTAGTTTCTTCAATATATAGCCATAGATCTTATACCTCCCAGTGATTTTCTGAGTATCAGAATTTTATCTTTGCCTTACCCCTTTCAAAAACTCTCAAAGGTTTACTTTTTTTCATTTGGAAAAGTTTCTGAACTGAAAATTGATGTATAGTTTCTAAAGCATTCTGCTTTCTTTTTCTCAAAAGCACATTATATTTTCTTTGTCCTAAAGTTAAAAGCAAAATTATAGTATATTTTAGAAGAAAACATCTACCTAAACAGTTGATGGAACTAATGCTTGCCAAAGTCCTACCAAGGAGAAAGATGAATTTTGTTGGAATTTACCCCTATTTACCCCTATTTAGCAGATAATTGGGGTTTCCCATGGCTGGCAGGTCTAAGAGGAAAGAACTTTTGGAAGCCACATGTAAAATAGGATTTATCACGTTAAAATAATAATCAATATCATCAGGAAGTTGTTTTCAAGCTGCAATATAATGCTTTCAATTCTACATGCTCTTTAAAAAAAAAACCTGTGATAATGAACACTCAGCAAACAAAAAAACTTTCAATTCTACATGCTCTTTAAAAAAAAAACCTGTGATAATGAACACTCAGTTTATTTTCAATAGCCTAACACCTGCGACTGACCATATTCATGGTCTCTAGTTGTTAAGTAAAATAAACTAGTGGGTTTTTTATTTAATTTTGTAAATATATATGAAAATTCATATGCTAATTGCTCACTAAATAAATATTAATTTATAATAATATAATATAATATATTATATATAATATAATATATTATATATAATATAATAATGAATATTAAAATATTCATTCTTCAAAAACATAATATTCTATGCTTGCATTATCAATTTTATTCATATGGAAAGTTTTTGGAGGATTATGTAAGAAAACGGATTTAGAGAAAGACAAAATTGTTGTTGAAAAAGCAAGGAAGCTGCTATATTAAAAGAAATCCCATCCTTGCCTCCTCAAGATATTTACTGCTATTTTCTGGATGGACAAGAGAGAAATTGGAGTTAGTCATGCGTTTTTTAAGGCAAACAGGAGTGCACTGCAGTTGTTGATGTGAAAGATGATCAGACCTGACAAAAGCTGTGATATGAAGAGAAATGGCTGTATTTGGAAGAACTGGAAGATAAAAAACAAACAGAGTTTAACAAGTACACCACAGGGAAGGAATAGTGTTAAAAATTAGATGCAATTCCATGGTTGAAAGAGCAGTGCAATTTAAAATGATGAATAAGAAATGAAGAATAAAAATGATCTAGACTAAAGATAATCTATATTTGGAAGTTAAACTTAAGAACATAACTGAACCTTCAAGCATGCATGCACAAAAATCCAGACTTAAATTCACTTTATATGCCATAGTGTAAAAAAAGCCCCAGACTGAAAATAGGCAATAAAGTAAAAAATAATAGTAAAAAAATTAATCTTGCTTGGGAAACAATATTTAGCCACTCTTAGGTATAGAAATTTCACTGAAAAAGCCACATATTCACTTGGCTTACAAGGGATGAAGTACTGATAAAGGGGTTGCCATTACTGTCCCCAAAAATTGCCCAAATTTGTTGTAGGCATTGAGGAAAGCTCTGAGTATGGAACTGACCTGGTGCAGCTTACTCTCAGAATTATGACACCTGATTCTCATCCCACTGCAAACTTGTGCAACTCTAGGGTGTGCTACAATGTTTTACAAGAGTAGAAATATGTCTAAAATATAACTGGAATTTTTAATCTCAGGAATCATGTTGTTGTGTTCTTCTGTACTAATAAATAGAAAAATCATGTTAAAGAAAAAATGTTTTAATGTAGAAATGTAATTTGAAGCATTAACTTCCCTTTCAAAAAATCTGTTTGATAAAATGCCGGTTTTATCGCAAAAAATAGAAAACTTCATGTGAATTACAATCTTAGGTGTTGATTTGAATTTAAAATGATGAATCAAAGATGAAGCATAACAACTACCAGCTACAGCTAAAACTGTTTTTGGCAAGTTTTGTCCACTATGTAGCTACAATAATATAGGTGCACATATTCTGTCACATGAAAAATACAGACTTTCTTTTTCAAAAATCTTATATAAGACACTTGTTGAACGTTTGTTTGGTTTTTTATTTTACAGAATAAATATTAAGTCAATATGTGTGAATGCTAAGTTGCTCCAATGTTTTTCATCTTCTTTGATCAGACAGCTCTATCAAAAACCTAGGTGTATTTGGTTGTTTTGTTGTTGTTGTTTGTTTGCTTGCTTTTTTTCCTGCAGCTTATTCAAACCATAAGTGCAGTAGACAAAGATGACCCTCTTGGTGGACAAAAATTTTTCTTCAGTTTAGCTGCCGTTAACCCTAACTTCACTGTTCAGGACAATGAAGGTAAAATTCATGCCTGTTCCAAGGAAGGAGTTTTATCTTTTCTGTCTGGCTACATTCCTGAAATCTATTTGCTTTTGATGTCTATCAATATGTAGAGAAGTTGTGAAGGTTGCTGCTACCAAAAATACTTTACCTGAATGAGGTATAGGACATCTACACTTGTATCTGTGTAAAGCAAAAATGTGATTTAAAAAAATTTATGAAAAAAATCAGAAAAGTGTTGGTTTGGGGTAAGAGACAGATGAAATACTTGACTACAAAAGAAAAAAGGCTTTCAAAAATGTCTTCAGCTGAAAGCTGAGATTTTTCACTTTAGCCTTTTGTGACATTGTTCTGATTCCCCTGAACTTCTGTTTTGCTTCTTTCTGACCATTAATGAAAATAATGGTTCTGAGAGCCACTTTGGCTTTTCTTTTGATCCTTGCTCAATCTGTCTTTATCAGAGAAAATTTTCAGAAGCTTCTGTTGGGGAAGTGAGACTATGAATTTTGGCTTTCATTATTAGTATGACTAATTGAGAGGACTCTAGATTACAGAAGACATAAATGAGAGAGGACGTGGTATCAGTCTTCAAATGTGTCAAAGGCATAAAGGCAAAGGGAATAATCCTCTGTTCCTGATGAATATTTCAGGATGTAGTACACTACAAACAACAACATAAAAAAAACTTCTAATGGCAGGGAAATTGAAGTAATTAAATAAAATATTTTGCATACCTTATAAAATTCTTTGCAGAAGAGGTGTTTAAAGATCCGTGAGAGACTTTTTGATGTTGAGTGAAAACAAATAATGTTAAAATACCTAAAACCAGTGAAGGGAAGCAAGAAAGAAAAACTTTATGTTTCACATCTTGAAGTCTATGAAAAAATACATTATTTAATATTTTAAACAAAGGTTAGATGTTGATGATTAGGCCCTGAGTACAGAGAGGTATAGATCTTGATATTTCCTTATTATCTGTAGTTATTTTCTTGCTTTTTGCACATGGGTTATTTTAATTGTGCCTGAAGTTATCTATCAAAATAGCTAACCACATAGCTCAGGCAACCCACAAATATGATGAAAATTAAATTTTCCTTTTAGTGCACATTAAACCTATATTTTCTCTCTTTTGGATGAAACAGTTATCAGCTCTGGTGTTGGCTGCCACTCTAGCATTGTGGCTCTAAAAGTAAAATAGTCTCTCCCTGTTATTCATTCTTTCTCTTCCTTCCCTTCTCTCTGGCCACTCTGTGGACACCTTTTGGTGCTGAAGTATCCTGCATACAACTAAGATTTGTATGCTACAGATGCAGTTCAATAAGTTCACTTCTCAAAAATGTGCAGGAATACCTACCATCTTTCACATTTTCTGAATTCCTAAGACAATTTCTATCCAAAAAAAGCCCTTCATGTGCTAAGGTACATAATTCATTGTTCTACAGTGTGTTGAAAGCGGTTTGGTTTAATAAATCTCATTCTGAGTTGACAGCATTCCTGTGGGTGTTGTCACAGATGAGCCATAGAAAGAATCTTCTAGAGCAGAGTACTTGTTGAACTGCACAAAGTGGAAGGTTCTTTTTCCTCAGTTGCATTTCAGGGTTTCAGCCCTGAACTGTAACTGTGTCATGCACTGCATGCATTAATCTCTAAAACATTTTAAGCTTTGAGAAATCCTCTTTTCAAATCACACACCAAAGTGGTGCAGAGGCACAGAGAAGCAGGCCAGATGTACCTAAAAACTTATAAATAGCTTTCTGATCAAATGAGAATGTTGTTAGAAAAACAGAGATATCACTGTGATATCAGGATCTATTTTGAAGTCATGTAAAATACGATTATTTGCATCTACTATAAGTGATATGGTTTCTGTTTGTATAGGCTACAACAGTATCTTTTAATCACTCTAGATAACACTGCCAGGATCTTGACGAGGAGGAATGGCTTTAGCCGGCATGAAATAAGCACTTACCTTCTCCCAGTGGTGATCTCGGACAATGACTACCCGATCCAGAGCAGCACGGGCACGCTGACCATCCGCGTGTGCGCCTGTGACAGCCGGGGCAACATGCAGTCCTGCAGCGCCGAGGCCTTGCTGCTCCCTGCCGGCCTCAGCACGGGGGCTCTGGTGGCCATTCTCCTCTGCATCATCATCCTGCTGGGTAAGGGGAGAAACGCGCCTTCCCCTTCCCAGGGACAAATGTTTAAGGCCTGACTCGTTTCACAAAATTATGCAGGTTGATAGAGTTAATGGTCCTGGATTTTGCAAGAAGGATGTAACTGCAGCTTAAAATAAAAAGGAAAAAACAAGGCCAAACCCTCATTATCTTTGTTATCTGCTAATTTAACACCGTAAATAAGAATTCGAGTCCCAGACTGTTAAACTGTCACTGTACAGCCAGAAGCTCATTTATGTTCTTTTGTTAAGTTTCCCGAAAAAAGAAAGTTCAGAGAGGATGAATAGTGTAATCAAAAATTGCTTTCAGGTCTTTCATTTTAAATTTTTTTGAGGAAAAAATCTCTTTTTCATTTAAATAACTACTGAAAATCAATATGCAGTATATATTTCACATATAATATAACAGTAAGCAGTAATTTTACTACATCAAAGCCCTGTCTATACAGTGGTTTCAGTGCAGTAATAAAAAAAAAAAGAAAAATTTTGTAAAACCTCCATTTTGTGGTTTTTAGAATAACACTTAATGACCTATAATTCAACTCAAACCCACTTTTTAACAATATCCTTTGAGCTTGAAAAAGGAAAAATACCTTCAGAATAGACCTGGCTATTTTCAAGCTCATTACAGCTACAGAAGGAGCATGCAGACAACCTCATGGTCCTGTAAAGCAGAGCACACAATGTGTGCAAAATAGGTTTTTGATATAGACTTATTGTGCTACCATTATACAGATAGAGGTGTTTATCCAGTTATCAGAAAAAAATGAGTTGGTGAAATGTAGCTGAAATGTCGTTCTTGCACCCGGTGGATTTGCTGCTAAGAAATTGTTAAATAGAGATCTTTACCCATTCTTTGTTTCCCTCTTTAAGTTATAGTGGTGCTATTTGCTGCTCTGAAGAGGCAACGAAAGAAGGAGCCTTTGATCCTCTCTAAAGAGGACATCAGAGACAACATTGTGAGTTACAATGACGAAGGCGGCGGAGAGGAAGACACCCAGGCCTTTGATATCGGCACGCTGAGGAATCCTGCGGCTATCGAAGATAAGAAGCTTCGGCGAGACATTCTCCCCGAAACGTTATTTGTGCCCCGGAGGACTCCTTCGGCACCAGACAACACGGATGTCCGAGATTTCATTAACCAAAGGCTAAAAGAGCACGACACTGATCCCTCCGCGCCGCCGTACG